CCTCTATCGGGCACTGGTCAGACCGCAGCTGGAATACTGCGTCCAGTTTTGGGCGCCACACTTTAAGAGAGATGTGGATAACCTGGAGAAGGTCCAGAGAAGGGCCACTTGTATGGTTAAGGGCTTGCAGGCCAAGCCCTATGAGGAGAGACTAGGGCACCTGGACCTCTTCAGCCTGCACAAGAGAAGGTTGAGAGGCGACCTTGTGGCTGCCAATAAATTCATCATGGGGGCACAGAAGGGAATTGGTGAGGCTCTACTCACCAACGCGCCCCTGGGGGTTACACGAAATAATGGCCATAAGCTAGCAGAGAGCAGATTTAGACTGGACATTGGAAGAAACTTCTTCACGGTTAGAGTAGCCAAGGTCTGGAATGGGCTCCCAAGGGAGGTGGTGCTCTCCCCTACCCTGGGGGTCTTCAAGAGGAGGTTGGATAGGGATCTACTGAGGTCCCCTCCGACCCTAACATCTATGAATATGAATCCATTAAGCAAGCCCACAGTCTCTATCTCACAGGTTTTGCCTTTGCAAATTTCCATCTCTTCTGATGTGTTTATGGTGGCTGCTGAGTGCTTTCCAGTGGGAAATCCACATAGGTTCAGCTTATTCCTTTTATTTCAGTTTGCTGCTTTCCCCCCTGTAGTTGATGCTAGCCCCCAGATCAGCAGTGGCTGACTAAGAATACTTTAGCACTGAAAGGGAGCAGGGAAGCAACAGGCCAGGAGACTGAGCAAGTCACTCTGTGAGCAAGCACCACAGACTTGATCCAATCCCCTGAGGTCAGTGGGAGTCCCTTCAGCAGATGTTGTATAAAGTCCTTCGTCTACTCTCCAAAGTGCTTCCTAACCAAGGCATCCCAGGCCAGCCGCTACTGAATGGAAACAGCAAGGCAGAGGCTGGCCATGGAGGTGGATTATTTTTTAAACAAAAGCTTGTCACAGACATTAATTCCTGCACTAACAGGTCGGTGGATAATGAGACACTTTGCTGGGAAGACTCAGCAAACAGTTCAAAGCATGGCCGCTCCGCCTCCCAACTTTTCAATGTTAAGAATTTTGTTTTACGGCTCTGGCATGCTGGTGTGTTACCATCTGCTGTGCCCCGTTTATTATGCTCTAAGTCATTCCGGTCAGCTCCCAGCAGAAAGTGAAGACAGAGGTAAACTACTATTTGAAAACAAAGGGGGACTCTCTCCATCCTAATTAGCAGCAGGTTGCGAAGTGCAGTGCCGGGGGTCAAAGGTCACTTCCCAGAAGACTTTGCTCAAGATTCCAGAACACCCACTTAATTCAAGCAGCTCAGCGGGCAGAGTCAGACTAGAGCAATTACGCTCTCTGGATTTCCCTAAGGAAGGTTTTAACAATGCAACTCTTAGAAAAAGATTACGGCAGGAGCTCTTTATTCTGCCACCTCAGAGCAGAAGGAAGTGAAGTATGCCCTGCTACTGACTCCAGAAATGGCTCTCTCTTTGTGCCAATGCTTTTGGAGGCAAGCTGGGGGTTTTTTGAAAGAAATGAATTAGAACAAATTTTAACATTAAAAAAGGCCAGAAAAACAAACATCGAGAGGGGCCCTTTGTGTGGCATCTCATTCTTTCTGAACGCGCCAGGATCCCCGCAAGTAAGAATTAACATTTAAAGGCTCCAGATGCCATCTACGCACGAATTTAGGCACCATTAGAAGATCTGGGTTTATATGTGGTTATCATTCACCTCTCTCAGTGCACAGATTCAGCTTATTCCTTTTATTCCAATTTGCTGCTTTTCTTCTTGCTTCAAGAAGAGCCAGAAACCAATGATCAAAGTATCATTTTAATTTGGATTCATGTTTCCAACTTGTGCGGGATTTTGGAAAACCTCGTGGGGACATTTCTATATTACCTCCCCCATAGTATAGTGACATTAACCCCCCAACATAATCTTCATACTTCCTTTGAGAGGGCTGAAGGGAAAGGAAGTTAATGGGACTCTTCAAAGGGAAAGGAAGCCACAGAGATCGTTTAACTTCCTAGGTCCAGGTAACTGAGGGCTATTAGATACCTTCTGTACTTCTCCTCAAAGGCCTAAAAGAGGAGGAGGCAGGATATGGGATTTTTCCATCCCACTCACCTCAAATGCAGGGGATGGACAGCCAAAACTGCTAAGTTTTTTGTCACAATTTGGAACAAGAAGTCAGGCAGGAGGGGGAATGTTCTCAGTAGAAGCCATCCAGTGACACGGAGTAGCTGTAAGGAAAACACTCTTTTCCTTAATAGTCAAGTTCCTTGTTTAGTGTAAGAAAAAAATTGCCTCTGTGATCCTTTCCTTATGCCGGAGGTGGTGGTGCTCAGCAGTCTCTCCCAGCCAAGCCCTATAAGAAAGGTCTGCGTCCGTCTACATCTAACTTCTAACCAATCAACTTCTGTGTAATGTGTCTCTGTACCATACATAGACCAGTTCCGGCTCTGCTTATGCCGTAGCCTCATCTGTTTGCATGTTTTTCACACCAGTGTAATGCAAATACTTCCAATGTAAATGTTTCATCTATCCAGGCTCTGAGGAACACTGAGTTGCTGCACGTACGTCCCATCCACAACAGTAATTAACAGTCAGCAGCTACATTTCACTCAAGGCTTGACTTTTTTTTAATAGAATCATAGAGAAGTCAGGCTGGAAGGGACCTCTGGAGGTCATCTAGTCCAACCCCCTGCCCTATTCAAACCATCCTATATAAATCCACTGTCTGACCTCTTAGCAAAACTACATGATCACCCCGACACAACACAAAGCATGACACACTAACCTGCCACAGGAAAAGCAGGGGACCACAGTGGCCAATATGACATGTACTCTGTATAGGTCTGGAGTTTCCTCCACTGCAACTACCAAATCTCTCCTTTTAATCCAATGTGAAAATCATACATTTGTAGCTAAAAGAAATATCTATATAGGCTCAATGGGACATTTGCCATGTCTCTTTTAGCAATGGCAAGGAGTGCTTTTTGACCAGTTTCAGCTGATGGTGGTCTACCATAAAGACTTGAAGGATCAGTTTCTGTTCCACCTACTAGACCCATCTGTGGACTTCTGCCTGAGTCCCTGAAAAACCATTAACACAAAAGGGAAAGTGTTCCTCCTTGTCCTTCTTGCCTTTTCTGACTTAGTCTTAAGTCTAAGCTAACAGTGTGTTATGTGTGGGCAGTGGGGTCCCCCAGAGCTCGATCCTCAGGCGCACACTGTTCAACATCTTCATCAGCAACTTGGACAAGGGGGGGAAAAGCACCTTGTTCAAATTCCTGGATGACACTAAGATGTGGGGAGAGGTGGGCATGATAGAAGGGAGGGACAGGCTACAAACTAGATCTGGACAGATTACAGGCATGGGCGGATGAGAATAGGATGGGATTCAATACTGACAAGTGCAGGGTATTGAACCTGGGGAGGAAGAACCAGCACCATACCTACAGGCTGGGGAACTCCCTTCTCGGCAGTGCAGAGGCAGAGAAGGATCTTGGAGTCACTATTGATTCCAGGATGAACGTGAGCCGCCAGTGTGAGGACACAGTCAGGAAGGCCAACCACACCTTGTCATGCATCACAGATGCAGCACAAGAAGGTCCAAGGAGGTGATCCTCCCCCTCTATGCGACACTGGTCAGGCTGAAGTTGGAGTACTGCATCCAGTTCTGGGCGCCGCACTTCAGAAGGGGTGTGGACAGCACTGAGAAGGTCCAAAGCAGGGCCAGTCACATAGTCAGGGGGCAGCAGGGCAGGCCCTATGAAGAGAGGCTACGGGACCT